CACCCCTGTTGCTTCCCCGGAACCCTAACAACCTTCTCACACACAAAAGGAGGCCGGATTTCTGTAGGCTTCAGGGAGGCAGCGACGACCGCTGGACCTTCTGAGCCAGGCTAGGGTCCTTGGCTGGAATCCCTGGTGGCCCGCCGTCCTCAAGCCCAACCAGCCTCTTGGGGTGTCCTCACCCACAGGAGCTGCAGGGCTGGCAACAGAAGCACGGGGCTAGGAAATCCCCAGCAGACAAATTAAGCCTCCCCCCTCCTGGCAGGGGAGGGGAGGAGGGGCGGGGAGGGGAAGGGCAGTAACTTAGGAGTAACTGCCCCTAGGAGTTTCGTGGGGCCCAGACTGGAATGAGTTTGAGGGAACTGAGAATGTCGGCAGTGGAGACTATGTGTGTGTTTCTAGCACCCAAACACCTGTAGCTCCCTCCCCTTGTGCAACACCTCCCAGCCCAGGGGTTGCACAGTGGGAGGCCCTATGTGAGGTTGTACACATCGATGCAGGCTGTGAGATGTGAGTACCCTCAACTCAACATGGGTACCCCACTGCCCCTTCCACTCACCACCCTACCCCCTCCATCGAACACACCATCTTACCACGCAGCTCTGAGCTCCTTGGAAAATCCAAATGGGCTCTAGCTCTTGCTCCATCCGTTCCTATGTGGCTCCCCAGGATGAGGAGTCCAGGAGTGGGTGCAGGGGAGTAGTGCCAGGGGCCTCCCCGGGCTGGCATTGGGCAGCAGATTGGAGCTATGCGGGAAAAGCGAAAGTAACTCCTTGTTAGTTGCCTGAGCAGCGGCCTGTTAGTCAAACTCTGAGCTGATTAGGGAGCAAGACTCTCAGGGCTGCGTGGGAGTGCATAGTGTGTACGGTGGGTCTGGGGAGAGCAGAGGGAGCCAGCATGAGGGAGGGGGGTTCCTCCCACATCTGGCTGGGGGCCTTCAGGGCAGCCCCAGCGCCCCAGCAGCCCCCCCCATACTAACAGCTCCAGCTCTGCACAGCCCGGAGGGAGGTCCCTCTTAGTAGTCTCATACACCTGGCACATATCTTGCTCACCTGCAAGTCCCACCATAAACAGGATGCCCTCCTGAGTCCTGGGCCCAAGGCAAACCCTACACCTGAGACCATAGTAGGGGCGGCACGAGGCAGGGCTCAGGCCATGCCCACACAGCCCCCGAATGCAGATCGGCACAAAGCCGCTCTTGTAGCTAACAGGTTGAGCCAGATTCTCTGTGTGCCACCGGCGGCACAGCACGGGCCTCTCGGACCCCAACCCGGCCTGGGTTTCTGGGCCCCGCAGGCCGCCACCCACTCAGCCCCCACGCGGGGCTGCGCCTGGTCTGGGTCGGCGCTCGGGGCTCAGCCGCGGCGGAATTTGGTCAGGGCAGTCGGCTCACTCAAGCCAAGGAAGGAAGAGGGCCTTTCTGCTCCGACAGGTTCGTGAATTCCTCTTCTCTTTCCGCACCTCTCCACACAATTACTCGGATACTGAATTCCTTTTCTGTTTTTGAACAGAGACCGACCATTTCCCGCAGGCGCGGTGGCACGCCGGGAGTTGTGAGCTTCCGACTGCGGGCAGTTGGCCCTGAGACCCTCGCAGCCCCCACCCCACCAGCCTTCGCCCCACTCGGGACAGGGTGTGCGAGTCCAGCTGTCCCCCCGGCGGGCCCCGCCGCCGTCCCGGCCTTTCCCCGCTGCAGCGGCCCTCAGCCAACCCGGGTTTTGGCGAGATTCGGTCCCAACGAATTCCGGGCAGAGACAGGGAGGTCGTGCGCGGCCCCTGAGCGCCGGGAGCCCCGGTACCCCGGGGAGTCTGGCACCCCTGAGACGCCTCGCCCGAGGACCTGGGAGCGCGGGAGGGACCCCGGGGAGAGAGCACGACCCGGGCCTCCTGCAGCCCGCGAGCGCCCAGAGCCAGCGCGTACCTCGGGAGCCGGAGCGCCGAGCCGGGAGGGCTCCAGCGGTGGGCGCGCGGCCCCAGGGCTGGGGATCCCCGCCTGCCGGATGCCCACTTCCCCGCGAGGCCCGGACAAGCTGGACGGGGTTCGACAGCAGTGGGGTGGAGGGGGCATTCGTCCGTGTGGGTGGACCCTACCCCTTTGTGAAGATCCCGGAGCAGGAGGTATTTCCGGGAGGAGTGTATGATGCCTAATTTTGCTCACAATTTTTTGTTCACAATTTGTGTTGTAAGAGGGTTGGAGGGGTTGGGCGCAAAGCCTGGACTTTGGGGCCGGTTTGGGGGTCTTGTTTGTTCTGGATAGCAGCCCTGCACTCCTGCCCGGGCTCCTCATCCGGTATATGGACAGAAAGTATCCAGCAGCCTCCAGGGCCAGCAACCTCTGGAGGGATCCTGGGGATTGGGAGGTGGGAGGAAGGCTCCAGTCTCTGGGGAGGTTCAGAGAGACTCTGGAATCTTACAGCTGGGAGGAACTAAAGGTGCATCTTCAAAACACAAATGAGGAAGAAACAGTGTCACACAGAGAAGGTGTAGGCCAGGTGGCTCCAGTCCCCGTGGGAGAGGAGGGATATGCCAGACCTGCTCAGGCAGAAGAAACTGAATTCTGCAGTTCCGGGAAGCCATGTCCAGATTTCTCCCTGGCTAGATCCTGGTGTTTGAACTGGTATAGGAGGGAGGCCAGCTGCAGACCCATGCAGACCCAGTGTTGTGGCCAGAACCTTCTCCCCACAACCAACACAGCTTGTGAGGGCTCTGACTGGTCACCCAGTGGGCTTGGGAGGTGGGAGCAGAAGGGCCAGCCTTAGACCTTTGGACCTAGAATCTTCTTCTGAGGAGATCAGGCTCCATGGGGGCCAAGGATGAGAGATGGATGAGCCCTGCCCCTCCTAGTCACATTTCCTTTTGGGCCTCCTGGGGTGAGAGGTTGACGTGCTTTGTTCCCCTCTGGGAGATCAGGTCCAGGATGGCAGCCTGGGCAGGGATGAAGGACAGTGTGTCTGATGCTTTCTGTGACTTCCCCAACCCCTCTGGGTACACACAGCTCTGTATACCTGAACAAGACCCAAACCCAAACCCAAACTCACTTCTAGTTTCTAGCCAGAAAGTTCTCTCACTCTGCCATCCCAGAGAAAGAGCCTCCTATCCCCCCTCACTTTATTCCCCCAAGACGACATGTCCCCAGACCCGGGGGACTAGATGTTAAAGGGAGTGTTGTATACTGTGGCTGTTCTCCGGCCTGGAGAGCTCTGCGACCTCCCTGAAGGTCCCTGGGAAGTTGCTTATACAGATTTCTCCGAGGCCAGGCTAGTGCTGGGAGTGGAAGTCTTACTTAGAGCACCACAGAGAATCCTGGCCCAATTATTGAGTCTCTATGCTCCAATCTGTGTGGCTTGCTGGGTGAGGGCCTAGAAACATGGAACTCCTAGCAGATGTTGGTATACCACCCCCAGTATATCTGTACAGCCCACCTCAGACCCCCCACCAGCACTGCACCATTACACCCACTCAGTCAACCATATACACACTCACCTGCAGGAAGAAGAGTCACCCACAATGATCCCCACTCCCCCCAGTTCACTCCCCCATTACACACCGCCACACACACATATAGGTAAAATACACATCTCGTGTATGAGATTGCATGTCACACGATTATGTGTCACACACGATGACACATCACACACAATGATAGTTGTACAATTACAGATGATTCACAATTACAAACATTCACACATTTAACACAAAAACAGATTCACGAGGAGAAACGAATAGGTACACTCACACACATCAGCACAGGAATCATACACAGCCACACGTACAGGTGGTTGATCACAATTACCCAAAAAGACACAATCACATTCACGCGCGGTTACAGACACACCACTGCAAGTTCATGCGTGCAGTGATAGTTTCGATTTGCAATTAAGCAGAAACAAGCACTTCCAATAATTACAAAGACAGTGACACGCTTAAACACTACTACCTTCATTATCTGTACCATCCTGATTGTCCACACCATCACAAACACACAACGCATGCCCACAACCCTCACACCCAAAGACTGTATATCTATCCTCTTGGGCATTAGCCGACCCAGGAGAGCCTAGCACTCCTTCCTTTCCTTAGGTCTGCCCTCTCTCTGTTTGTCCCTCCCCGTTCCCCAGAGCCTGCCCCAGGTGTCCCTCCAGCAGCGGCAGCACAAACTCCAGCAGCTGTCCCAGCGCCATTTCACACCAAATCCAAATAGCTATAGGGTGCTGGCTAAGCAAGGAGCAGGCAGCCCTGACTCCGGATCTGGAGGGTTTTATTTTTTTTTCACATAAATTACACAAGCACTTTATAAAATGGTTACACAGAAAACACCTTATAAGTGCATAACTTAAGCTCCCCTATGAACGGGATCTGGAGAAAGAGGCTGAGTTTGTGTGAAACCTGCCTGTGCGTACCTGGGTGCAGCTAGGACGTGTGATGGGGGCCTGGCAGGTCGTGGCGTTGTTGTGTGTGGGATAGTGTGTCACAGTGCGGCCGTAGCCTTGTGTTTGTGAGAAGTGCCATGCTGTTGACAACGAAGCTGGGTCGCCCCTAGCTTATGCCTGATAGTGAGGGTTAAGGGTGTGAAGGCTATGGCCCCACGTGTGCATGACACTCTGCCACAGGTCCTCTGTGTTTGACTGTGGGTGACACCAGGAGGGACGGTGAAGTCACCTTTGGGAGGACCTTGGGGTGTCAAGTGTGATGGGGAGTGGGATACAGAGGGGTACTCCCCAGAGTAAGTTCAAATGACAGCCCATGCTCTCCTCTGAGGACCTCAGGAGCTCTTCTTCCCCCACCTCCTCTGCCTCTCTCAATCCCACGTTAAAAATCAGAATAAAATAAAATAGACGCAAACTGAAAGGACTCTGAACAGTTCCAGAGGGCGTGGGACCACTTAGGCGTCGGGAAGGAGGTCCCCGTCCCTGCGCTCTTTTCTTCCCCCATCAAAGAGGAAACAAGGCGGGCAGGAGCGCCCACGCCAGTGCGGAGGGGCGCCGCGTTCCCCTCCCGCGTGCAGTCTGAAGCGGGAGGGGGAGAGAGTCCTGGGTCTCAGCCTCAGCGACCCCTTGGCTGGACCCGGGTTCCTGTGGGGTGGGGCAGGCAGGCTCACTCGCAGGCCGAAGCCACCGACGTGACGCTGGTGATCTTGGTGGAGTCGTCGGACCACGGCTGCAGGTTTTGCAGGGCGAAGAGTGAAGAGTTGTGCACACACAGCGGGTCGGCGGGCAAGGGCTGCGCCAGACTCTTCTGGAAGGCCTCTTGCTGCAGCTGCAGGAGGATGCGGTTCGCCTGCTGCCTCTCTGCCTCACGCTCCTCGGCGGTCTGCCGCCTGCACCGGGGACAAGCCGTTACCCAGGCTCCCAGTGTGCTCCCGGGGAAGTAGCCTGGAGGAGCGCTGCTCCCTTCACAGCTCCCAGCTCCAGCTTGGGGCCCTTTAACACACACCCTTATCTTGAGGGTCCTGACTCCGACAAAGACTTGAAACCCCAAAAATAAATGAGGCGCAGGTATCCCCGGGGGAGCTGTGGGAAAATCCGCTAGGCCCAAGCATTTGGGGCTCCCAGTCTCCCAATAGCCTAGGAAGGCACAACCAGGGGTAGGATGGCACCTTGCCTCTCCCTCTGCCCCAAGCCTGAGGCGCCCCACCCTCCCCACCAGTCCAGGGCAGAGACAAGGGCCAGCGGATTGCGAGCTGCCTTGCCTGACCTCTTGTCTCCCCCTTTTCTTGTAATCCTGTTGCAGGCTTCCTGCCTCCTGCGCCGAGCCCTGTGCCCTGCGGGGACTCCCGCCGTGGGACCAGCCGCCTTCCTCCGAGGCGGCCTGGGGAGGCAATGACTCACTTATTCCATTTAATGCCCCCCCTCCACCCCGTCAACTGAGATCAAACGTCTGTCTCTAAGGTGGACAGACCTAATGGGAGTCCCGGGGGCCTCCAGAAGCAATTTGTAGGCGATCGATGAAGCCACGCGAAGCCAGCAAGGGCCTCTCCCAGCGGTGGACGCCGGCCTCCTTCCCAGCGCCCCTTCTTGCCTATTGCTCCGTTCGTCGTTCTGTCTCTCGCCTTACCCTTCGGTCCTGCATTTCAAACGGCCTGACTGGTTTTCTTCCTTTTAGGCGTCATGTCTTTATCTCCTATTTTCTCTCACCCACACTTCCTTCGTTCTCTCAGAATTAAGAGAATTTATTTGAAACGGAAATGGAGGTTTAATCATCCATTGCTTTCGTTTATTATCCTAAGACTTCTTAAGGTGCCTGGTTTTTCCTTTTCTCCCTGGGGTGGGCTATTTATCCTTGCCGGGTCCCCTCCCTTCGCCTGCCACTCTCTTCCCCTGTGCCCCTCTCTTCCAGGGACTTGCGTTGCTCCCTCCCCTTGCTTAGGCAGCAGTCTGCTGGGGCCTTGGGAACGCTAGTGCCCCACCCTTATTCATTCCCGCTAGCCCTTGCTACCTCTTTAGCCTTCCAGAGGTCTGAAACCAACCCCCATTTCTTCCCCAGTGCCAGGAAGGAGGGGGCAGAGTGGGGGGGGCAGTGGCTTTCTTTGTGGCCACGATTGCAGAATGGCGGGAGATTCCTCGCTTTCATTCAGAAAAAGAGGAAACTCCAATTCCTTCCTCCAGCTCTAGGCTCACCCAGCGGGGAGCCACGGGCTTTGCCTGGACTCTCCTGCGCTCTCCCCGCTGAGGCCTGAACTATGGAGAAACTTTTCGCGTGTGTGGAACGGAGTATGCAGGCCAGATGTGCAGGAGGGTGTAGGGGTGCAAGTGAGGCACCTGGAGAAAGCGCCGGTAGGTGCGGGGAGTTAGTCTGCCCAAGAGTGTGGGAAGCTTTATAAGAGGGAGAGAGAAAAATGTATGTGTGTGTGTGTGGGGGGATTTTAGTGTGGTTGTGGGTGTGTGACAGGAGAAGGGTAAATGTGTCTCTTTCTCTCACACACAAACACCCATCTGCTCCTAATTGATCCCCCTTTCAGTGGGACTCCAAAACCCCGCTACAGCCGGTGCGGATTGATTTTCCTCTCCCAGGGTGGGGCGCCTGGCTGTGTGAGCACCCGGCGGAGCGCCTGGGGAGAAGGGAGTCAGAAGGGCCCAGGCCCGCGGTTTGGAGCCCGACGGCACAAGCAGGAACCCCGGCTGGAGCGCAGAAACAAGGCACGGGCCATCCCACCTCCAGTCTCCGGGATGGAGTAGGTATCTCTGTTAACGCGACTTTGCACAAACAAAATGTCCCTTAGGACTCACTGATCCCCAAAGCCCGGACTGCACGGACTGTGCTCTGCCCCATTTCCCCAAGCAGCAGCGGAGACCAGCCTCGTCTACACCAGCACTGAGTGTGTCGGCCAGAAAGCCAAGAAACCTCCGGTAAAACAGAGCCGGGGCTCTCCAGCCTCGCCCCCGGCAACGGCCTCGGTTGCTTCCCGTTCCCCGCGAGCCTAGCAGGGAACCGATCAGAAGCCAGCGAGCGGAGGAGGGTGTGAGCGCCCCAGGAGAGACCCAGGGGCAGAGAGCTGCCCGTCCAGCGCGCTCACCTCCACTTCGTCCGCCGGTTCTGGAACCAGGTTTTGACCTGCGCGTCGGTCATTTTGAGCGCCTTGGCCAGGGCGGCGCGCTCGGCCGAGGCCAGGTACTTCTGGCGGTGGAAGCGCTTTTCCAGCTCGCAGATCTGCAGGCGCGTGAAGGACGTGCGCGGCTTCTTCTTCTTGGGGGGCGTCCGGTTCTGATAGGGGTGACCTATACGGCGTGTTACAGTGAAGGGTGAGAGGGCCACTGGAGCGGGAGACAGACAGACGGCAGAGGCAAGCGGCAGAGCGTCAGGAGGCGTCCCAGGCCCGACTCCCCGCGATCAGCGAGCGCAGCGGCTATACCCCAGGAGCGGGGCGGCGATCCTCCCGTCAGCCCTCAGCTCCAAGCCCGCGGCGGGAAAGGGCCCCCTCCCGCCCGCCAGGCCGACGCCGCCGCCGCCGCCGCCGCCGCCGCCGAGGAGGCCTCTGCAGCCCGGGGCTCCCACATGCTCAGCCAGAAAAGACGTGGTCGCCTCCCCAACCTTCTTGAGGGCCTGTCTGATGCGAGCTAAAGGTCGCAGGCCCCCACTGCCCCAGGCAGCTAGAGGCAGTGCTAGGTCAAGGGTGGGGGGCTGTGTCTTGACCTGGGCCACCACAAGACACACACATACCACAGGGGCAAATTCTAGATCTATACACAGTCTGGCACACAGACACAGGGGCAGACACACAGGCAGACATACAGGACACATGGCAACACAAGGCGACAGTTACTCATTTCCTCAGAACCTTCTTCAGGCCTGAAGATTAGGGTGTACTGTGGCTGTAGGTCCTCTGTGGAACGCCTTTCGCTAGAGACCCAAGACCAGTGGGTTCTGGGCTGAGGTTCCATTAGAGCCCTTCAGGACTGGCCTGGCCTGGGTTGGGGGAGTGCAATGGGCAGCAGGCCTGAGAGAACTAAGGTTGGGGACTGGGGTCCCTTGAGTACAGGGTCCTTCCTGGAGGCCCAGAGCAGAAAGGTTGTAGCCTCTGCTGCATGCCTCCCTCCCTCCCCCTGACCTAGCTTGAGCCACGGTTCCAAGGCCAGAACAGGAGCAAGGGGCCTGGGGTGACTTGGGGCCGCCTAGCTGAGCGTGTAGCTCTAAGCTGCCTATTTCCTTTCCACCATTGGGCCTGGATCCCGAGCCCCATGGGAGTCCCACGTCGCCATCCGCAGCGGCCCGTACCTCCCGCCTCCTTTCTCTAACGCCCGGCCAGGAACCCAGGTTCAACTCGTGGTTACTTCTAAGCGGGCAGCGGAGCTGGCCTGGGCAGGAGGATCGAGGATCCTAGGAACGCTAAAGGGCGGCGGGAAGTGAGGCCGGATAAAGGGGCCCGCTCGTGAACGAGAGCTGATTGCCGAGCGCCGAGAGCGGAAGCGAGAGCGGAGGGAGCCGGGGCGGACGGGGGAAGGCGCGGAGCTGGCAGCGCAGAGAGCGGCAGCCGCCCGCCGCCGCCGCCGAACGCTAATAGTCCCAGGAGTTGTCCCTCGGCCGCCGCTGCCGCCGCGGATCGATCGCCAGCCAGGCCTGTGCATTATTCACACTGGAGGGAACAGGGCTGGGCCCGGAGGGGAGGACGCCATGCCGGGACCGAACGAAAATGAAGCAGGAAGCTCAGCTTCACGCTGCCACCGACCTGGACGAAGCCCGAAGTCCTGGAAGAAGGGCCCGGCAGCTCTGCTGCTTTACTCAGGCTCAGGGCCTCTGCTGGGCCCGGGAAGCGCAAAGGGCACTGGAGCTCCGAGCGCGAAGTGGTGTGCGTGCGTGTGTGTGTGTGTGTGTGTGTGTGTGTGTAGGGAACGAGAAGTGGGGAACCTGTTCTCTCCCTGCGTCGGATTCTGGGGCTCGCGGTCTCAGCCAGAGAACGTTGGCCGGGACGGAAAAAACAGTTCGTTCACATCGCGCCCCTTTCTACAAGAATACCGAGCCCCAAATGCCGGCTGAAGGTGGTCCCGAAACTACCCTTTCCTTCCGCCTGACTGAGCCCAGGGACTCCGAGAGGGGATCAGGGAGCGCTTTTCAGAGCAGGGGTCCTGCGGGAGAGACGGAAAGGGGCCCAGCCTGGGAGAACTCTTGGAGCCTGGCGATTCCGCGAGCGTGGAAAGGTGGCGGGCGGCTGCACTTGGGGGAACCGCCGAGAGGACCTGGGCAACCTGGTGCGCAGAGGGGGCTGCGGAGAGCCACCGGGCGGGGGAAAGGTAGCGCAGAGCCCGGGCCGCGGCCAGGCGGGGCGCGCGCGGGCCGGACTCACCTGTGAACCTGTCCTTTGTGTATCTGCGGTTACTCTCCATCCAGGGAAAGGTGAGGCCGGTGAGGTTGTTGACACCCGGCACCGCAGGCACGGAGGGCACGGTGGGCAAGCCAGTAGCCAGAGGCTGAGGGTGGGCCACCGCTCCGGCTAGCGGCCTATGCGCCGGCACCCGGATCACCCCCGCAGCGCTCAGGGCCCCCCCGCCGCCGCCGCCGCTGCCGCCGCCGCCCCCTCCGCCGCCGGTCCCGGGGCCGCCCGCCAAGGCCATGTTCACGTTGTAGGAGCCAGCCAGCGGGCCCATGCTGCAGGCGCCGCCGCCGCCGCTGCTCGCCGGGCCACCAGGGCCGCTCGGACCTCCAGCACCATAGGCCCCCGCGCCCCCGGCCCCCGCCCCGGACGCGGGGCCCCCGCCGCCGTAAGCGTAGGCGCCTCCAACCAAACAGCCAAGGCCGTATTCTCCGTCCTGGAGACGCGAGGCGGGCCCCATGCAGCCGCCTTGGTCCGGGCTGTTGAGAATCTGGTCGATGCCGAAGCTGATGGGCTCCGCATGGCCCGGGTGGAGATGGTGCGGGCCCAGGTGCTCCATGCTGGCCCCCGGCCCCGGCCCCGCGGGGGGGCCTGGGCGGCGGCGTTTGCTGTGTTTGGCTCCGGGGGCAAGCGCGCACGGGCGCGGAGGCGGCAGGGGCTCCTGGCTGCGCGAAGACTTGGAGGCGAAGTGCGCGGAGGGCTAAAGTAGGGGGGAGGGGAAGGAAGAGGGGGCGCCGTATTCTTCCCCTCTCTGGCTGCTCCTTCCCCTCTCCGGCTGCTTGCTAGATGTTGACTCTGGGACATCAATCACCGGGCGAAAAAGCCCGGTGCGAGCGAGCCTAGCCGTTTCGGCCGGGTCTCTCCATTGGCTGTGCGTGGAGAGGAGCGGGGTGAATGACAGCGCGGGGGAGGGGCGGAGAGGGGGAGAGGGAGGCCGGGAGCCGAGACTGATGCAGGAGCCAGACACAGAGGGACGGAGACCGAGGCTCGGAGAAGTAGTTTCAGGAAGAGAGAGAAGGGATTCAGAGACTTAAAAGGAGAAAAAGAACAGGAGGCGGCCATTCCCAGAGACCTATGAACAGACGGACCCAAGGAGGTGGAGGACAGAGACCTTTTCCCAGCCTGGCAGGAGTCTCCCCACTTTGAATTGGGCCAGAGAGGTCCGACTTGATAGGCCTCTGGGGAAGGGTGTCCGTGAGCTACCGGAGAACCTCCCCAAGGCCTCGGCTGGGAAGCACCTGTCCGCCAGCAAGAGGATTTACTCCAAACTTCAAGTCTGGCTTGTTAGAAAGTAGAAGACTGTCTACTCCCCAGGTATGGAGCCCAGACCCCTGAGGGAGGAAGGTGAGTTCAGGCTTGTCCTTTTTTTAAAAAAACACAGGGCTAGGAGCAACTGGCTAGATATTGGTGGAAAAATCAACAACTATCCCAACTCAGCCTATTTAGAGAAACTGAGGAAAGGAAGACTTTCTGAGAGGCAAACACAAGTCAAGGGAGTTGGCTCCAGGCCTGCTGCCAGGGTGCCCATGCCTCAAGGTACCCCTTTCCTTTTAAATAAACAGAGTCCTCAAGAAGCAGTTCCCACAGCATGTGAGTGAATTCAGTTAGATTGCTTTCACCTAGTAACTAGCCCTCACTGGCTATTCCAAGCAAGGAACCCTTGGATAGCTATGAGGGCAGGGAGTTATTTTCTTACTTTTGGAATCCTGGGAGGGAGGTGTGGGGGATGTAAGACTGTGGGGGCTGGGGTTGGTGGGACCAAGATCAGGGCAACCCATCTGGGCAAACAGAGGCCTTTTAAAGTTTTGCCTGTGGCTGACTGGCTTAGTGCCTGGGAGAGAAGGAGGAAACTCCCTTTTTCTGCTTCCTCTCTTTTTTCCCTCTTCAGTAGGGAAAGGTTTGCTCCCTCAAAGAAGCCAAGCTCTGGGAAGGATGCGGGTTGGATCCCTTGGGATCTGTTTCTGGTCTTATCAGATTCAACAGGTCCTCGAGGAGGGACTGTCTCTATCAGGCAAGATGCTAGAATATGAAGGTTTGCATTCTACTTCTCAAATCTCGTTACAGTCTATTTGCTTTGGTCAGGTCTGTTATTTCCGCTTGAAGAGATCTCGGTGGAGGCAAGGAGTGGCTTACTCATCTCAGTCCCCCTCTCCCCACCCACTGTGGAGTACCACCCCAAAGAGCAGGATATAGTGCCGAATGAATGAACTTCCTTATTCAACAAATATTTACTGAATACCTTCCACGTGTCAGGCACTGGTTTTGGCATTGGGAAAACAGCAGTAAACAAAACAAAGGTCCTGCCCTCACGAATTTACATTTCATAGAGGGGGTTAGTCAATAAAGAAGCAAATACATTAAGTCAGATGGCGATAAGTGTTATGGAGAACACCATGAACTTCACCAGCTCTTCAAGATGGGTATTATCCCTATTTTACAGACGTAAGAAAGTCAAATTTCAGAGAGGCTAAGTGACTTGATAGAGACGGAGGAGCTGGGTTTGACTTGCATTTGTAACTTAGACTGGAAATCTGGCTGCTGTTGGAAGCCCATCTCTATGGGGAATATCGTGTCTGGGCACCAGGCAGGTGGACAAAGGCCCACTCAGAGCAAGGCCAGATATGAAGTAGGTAGTGGTTTGGAAATGCTACACAGAAACAGGAGAGAGCTCTACTCCCTTGCCAGTCTGCTCCTCTCCATCCACCCAATCCAGGTTTCACACCTCTACCCAGGGTAACTTTCATCAAAAATTGTTTGAACTTAAATCTATCTCTTTCCTGCCTTTTATCTTGGGGGAACTAAAGAGCAGGGATAAACATAAGTGTTTTCTCGAGAAAATCCTATGTGCTGGGCACCACACCACACTGATCTCATTTAAGACAATAACTCTGTGAAGTTAATGGAAACATCTCTAATTTTTAAATAAGAAAATTGAATGAATGTTCATAGCAGTATTTTTTATAATGGCCAAAAAGTGGGAACAGATCAAATGGTCATCATGCGATGAATGGATAAATAAAATGTGGTATAACCATACAATGGAATATTATTCATCCAAAAAAAAAAAAAGAATAAGAAGGAAGTCCTAGTTCATGCTACAACATGGAAAAGCCTAGGAAACACGATGTTAATGAAAAGAAGCCAGGCACAAAAGGCCACATATTATATGACTGCATTTATATGAACCATTCAGAACAGGCAAATCCACAGAGGCAGAGAGTAGATTAGTGGCAGCCTGGGGTTGGAGGAGGGAGGGTAGGAAGTGGCTGCAAATGTATACAAAGTTTCTATTTGAACTGATGAAAATATTCTGGAATTAGATAGAGGTAATCATTGCATAACTTTGTGACTATCTTAAAAACCACTGAATCGTATGATTTAAAGGGAATATTATGGTATGTGAATTATATTCATTTTTAAAAAACAAAAACAAAAACTGAGACTTGGTAAAATGAACAAACTTGCCCAAATTTCCACAGACTGAATAATGTTGATCTGGGTTCCCCAAATCTGAACTCTTTTCCCTGGATGAGGCTGGAAAATATGGAGAGGGGTGCATTCACTTCCTTTGGGGCTGGATCACAGTGGCCCTGTTCCTTTTCATGGTTAACTACAGTTCTGCCTGCTGCAGTTAAAACTGTCTTTCTAGGTTATCCTTAGAACAACTTCCCTTTGCCGCTCTCTGGCCCATGCAGGAAACCCCCTCCATGTTCCTAACACTCTCCCCATTCCTCCCTCCGTCCTCCTCTGGATGAATCTTTCTAGCACCCATGTCTTTCTGACCTTGCCCATTTGGGCATCTGCCTTACTTACTTATTGCATCTTGAATTCCTCAGATCTGGCATCAGTTGGCCAGGGTCCCTGGCAGGAGGTATCTATCACCTTATTGGCTCAGCCCAAGGTTGGCAGAGGTCACAGCTGCCTAGTGGCCCATTAAGACTGTTGGGATGCTCTTCTCATCAAAATCCCGCAACCCAGGGACATCCTGACTTTTCCCTGCCCTTACATCTGTTTGCCTCTACGGTGTCTTCCATAACCCCCTCCACCGCCCACCCCCATCTCTCCGCTTACCAGAGTCAACTTTTCTCCCAATCCAGTTCTGAGGTGCTGGCCTCCCCCAAGGTGGGGTTCTTTGTGTCCAACTTGACCTCAGCCTTTGTTTTCCAATGAGGCAGTTGCTGAGGGCCTGGGGTACACTTTTTCGGTCCCTTCTTTTCCTAGGAAGTTGAGACAAGAGGGTCAGGAGTCTCTGGGTTCTGGCCCCCACCCCTCCTGGAAGCAGTGTTCCCTGAGCACAGCCCTGCAGGTTGGAAAGTGTTTTGAAGGGGGGAAGGAGGGGCAGTGGGAGTGAAAGGAGACTCACAGGGAGCTTAACCTTAGGTGGTGCAGCTTTTGCATTTCTACAGTGTTTCTGAATGTTGTGCAGAGTAGCAGCCCTCCTTAGGAAGGACTAGGAGAGGAAAAGAAAGCAGGATAAGGCACAGTGACATCCTAGGCACCCTCAGTCACAGTGATGATCTTGTGTTGTCCACCAGTAACCCAATGGTGTTATCTCCATTTCACAGATGGCAAAACTGAGGCACTGAAAGCCAGGAAGGGACAGGAACGAGGCTCAAATACTGTTTTTCAGACTCCAGGCATTAGAAGCTGATTTCTTTTTTTTTTTTTAAGATTTTATTTATTTATTTGACAGACAGAGATCACAAGCATGCAGAAAGGCAGGCAGAGAGAGAGGAGGAAGCAGGCTCCCCGCTGAGCCGAGAGCCTGATGTGGGGCTCCATCCCAGGTCTCTGGGATCATGACCTGAGCAGAAGGCAGAGGCTTTAACCCACTGAGCCACCCAGGTGCCCCATAGAATCTGATTTCTTAATACCAAACTTGGTAGATAGTAGATGTCCTAGCTTTGCAGGAGTATCTCCAACACACATCTAGGTGAGTTCCAGCCCTGAGGCCACCTGGTAAACCAGCCCCCCACACACACACATAAAGCACCACCCACTCCCCTGGCCTGCAGAATAAAGAAGTGCCTCCAATTAAAAAAGGAGCAGCTGGGGCTGAGGCTGGGGCGGGGGGAGGAGAAACAGGAGGGCTCAGCCACAGAGGGCAGCTCCTTCAGATCCCACACGGTTTCCTCCCCCTCTGGGAGAGACCCCTGGGCCAGGGGTTGTCCTTTAGCTTAGGGGTGTGTGTATGTGTGTGTGATAACTTAATTACCTTGTGTTAGGGAGACTGTGTGTCCACGAGGGAAAAGCCAGATGTGAAAGTGTGCATGACAGTGCGGATGGCCAAGTAGATACTGGGCATGTCTCCAAGGAATAATTTTCTAAATTTACCCAACAACTATGTATTGGGTGTCTATTATGTACCAGCGGTAGGCTGTTGGGATTCAACTGCAAGCAAAACGCATGTCTGTAAGGGGGCTGGGGGAGAAGAAGGGAGTCTGGGCCATTTTTGCAACTGGATTTGTCTGTGTAAGAATGCAAGTGAATGTGTGTTTTCTGTAACAGATAAGATCAGGTCTCTCCAACTGTTCCTGTATGATGAGCACATATGATGGACTGAGGGTGTCCCTTGGCTACTGTGTGAAAGTGTGAGTGTAATCATGGGGTGTGTGTGTGTGTGTGTATGTTGTCTTATTTTCTAGTGTAGTTGTCAGGGCAATGGCCATATGTTGGACTGTGGGTGTGGAAAGGGGGCGACAGGATATGCCCAATAGATATGCACCAGGGACAGTGTAGGACAAGCTGAG